TTTCTTGTCAGGTCCCATTTCAAAGAAAAAACAGTACGGTTCAATCCATACTGCGTAAACGTTGGTAGTGGTTTATGTGGGCCTTAGAAGTAGTAATGGTGCCAAGGTCATACCACGGGCACTTGGAACATATTGTCAGCCTTTAGCTTGTTCACTTTCGTGTGTCTGAGTTTTAAAAATTCTAGCTCATTTATAGATTTACCAATTCACATAAACGTTGTGTGGTACTCGAAAATCTTGATTCAGTAATAAAAATTGTTCCTATATGGGCCATATATAAAACTCTACCGCCCTTTGGGTCTATATTCAGGATCATTCAATAAAGGATTTACAGTAACCTTGTTTTCAACTTGCTCATTTTGAGACGACACAACCCTGCCCCTGCATTTCTATGTAGGCTTCAAGATTTGTTTCCTAGACTGTCTAGACCTCATCAAGTGAGTCTCGAAAAGTACTCACCCGTCTTTTGGGCCGGCTTTCATAGGCGAGTGTTAAAGTGTGTTATTGATCAAATTAGGTCTAATCCTTATGTTTTATTTGTATGCAGTAAATCTCCTATTAATGTTTTACTCGCTTTAGGCTACATCAAAGAAAAAGTGTCGGAACTTGGTTTGCAGTGACCTCCATAAGTAGGCTTTCAGATTCTGTTGAACATCCAACTTTAAGACCCGCATGCAAATTTAAACAGAGCGAATTGCTTTTATATATCTTCTTTAAACTGTGTTCAGAGGAAAGGGAACAGGCTATTGTTGTTTGTTAAAAGATAATGATTGCTTTTTTTCCCCATCTAAGATAATATTTCCAGGAAGTAGCATTATGAGCACCACAGAAAAGACGACGATAAACTAGTGGTGACGGTTAGACTACATAATATATGCCTACATGTATAACTTGATAAATTAGCACATTTTTAGGGTCTGATTTTCTGCTCTGACAGACCATGCAAACCCGACTGGTCGGACAAGTGCACACACCACACTGCTATAATTCAGGCATGTTGTGCCGGTACGGCCAACATTCGGAATATGACGGAGCTCTTTTATTTTAGAAGTTTTAGGGAGCCAAGTTGCTCCGGAAGTAGAAGCTTTCCTGTGCGCGCAGTCGAATATACTACGGTATCCGTCTTGTTATTTGTTCTGTAGTTCATAGGTATGTCTGCCGAAGTGTTTAATATGTTCATATTTCCCATGTAGGTAAACATTTTCAGAACGAAATACCTATATTAAATTAAAAACCAACAAGTATCGGGTTGTTTACGGCTCAATAGTACTTTTAAAAATTGTGAATTCATCGTATAAAAACTGTTTCTCACGCCGGCGTCTCTTATGGGTTAAGTTCTTCGACTTGCATGCCAAGGATGTGAGTTCGATTGCCACAAGGAGAAGATATCTCTCCGTCTTCCAAGTGGGATCCCATGCAGCTCGGGTTGGCCCAGGCAGACAAAGTCGAAGCATTCCGTCTCCTAAATCCCCTCAATAAGTCTCTCTGGGAGCGTAAACATTTTGTAAATAATAAAAAATGCTCCACTTGAGCTAAAATACAAAATGGTCAAGAAAAGTAGGTAAGTTCAATGTAACTGACAATCTTTTAGAAAATACATTTCCATAATATTTAACTGTTTTTGACAGGATGGTATGTAATTTATTTTACAAGTTTGTTAATTATTCAAGAGAGCTCTTTTTGGTTGACAGATGGGAGTACTGCAGTGGTTGCTCTGTTCATGCATATTGTTCCTCTAAAAAAGCTGAAAGCTATGAAGGCTTGAAGTCCAAGCGTCTTCTCTGTCCGTAATGATAATAATA